TCAGTATCACCATAGTTTCCATTTCTAATCTCAAACTCAAGTTGATTGTTTTTTGTAATGACATTTTTTCACGAATTGCACAAACTAGCTTCAGTAAGAGCCACTTGATATTTTTTGTTAACCTCTAAAGGTATAGGTAGCCTATTGCCAATTTGAAAGTCATTCGCTTCTCCATCGTGTGCCGCAATGGCTCTTGTTGAGTCTATCTCAATGCTAATTTCGTCTTCTAATACTCAGGCCATTATGGTTATATCGACAATGAACAATAGCTCTGTATAAATATATAAGAAGAAAATTTTAACGCACGTATTTATTTCTAATTTCTCGGTAATAACTTTTCGATATCGTACTTTCGTCTAGCAGTTTTGTTAGAATCGCTTCAATATCGTTTTTCAACTCACGAGAGTCATTACCAGCCTCTACAGACTTGCAGGAAAGGTGAAGGCGGTCGATAAGCTCTGATGGGCTATTATAATAGTGCACTCCAGCTCCTGTTCGTGTTGTTTTAAAGAGTCGTTTGGGGCGACTTCTTCTTTTTTCTTTTAAAACATTGTAACGTTCGAGGTTTTTTTACATAGCTCTCGGTCAGCTGATGAAGCGGTTCTTCTTGTAGACGGGCCGATAGATTTTCCAAGATTTTCAAAATCTATGTCGTTTATATACTCACCAGCCTCCAACCGATTAAGCAAATTTGAATTCTCTATAGCCTTCCAAGATGGTTTGTCTTTTGTTAAAATGACTAGATTATCTAGCCGTTGGGCAGGCTGCTGTTGAGTCTCCTTAACCGCTTGAGTGACTTCTTGCAACCCTTCAATTTCTTCGTCTTGGTTTTTGTTAATAGCTTCTGCTACAGATTTTTCAGCATTAACAATTGGTTCAGACGCCCTTTCAAAGCATTTTCCTTCGTGCTGTCGAGACACTTTGAAATCGACTTGGCACCGCTTGAGTTCCGCGCGGTTTTTTACAAACTCCTGGACTAATTTTCGCGCTCTTCCATAGATGTAACTGACCTGAACATACTTGAAATTCAATCTCAAGAAAGATGAAGGTAGATAAATGTTTTTTATCTTACTATATAATAGGAAAAAAAATGGACGACCCATATGGTGTAATGAAAAATTATAATCTACCTGAAACACAGTCGGTGCTAGCATCTATTTAGTCACAATCTCAAGAAAAATTACTGCATTTTACCCTGCCATCGCCTGTTTCAAGTGATACAGAGGAATCGGATGAAGAGTCACGTGATACAGAAAATCGTCTATAGATCCTCGCGAGACGTCATGTGACTCATTTTAATAAGGTAAGAACGTATATGTATAAAGCCCTCAGGATTTAAGGGAGATAAAGGTAACACAGGAGCTGAGGGGGCTCTAGGAGATACGGGTACTAGAAGACCAAAGGGAGAAAAAGGTGATACAGGAGCTACAGGGGCTCATAGAGATACGGGTCTTCGAGGACCAAAAGGAGAGAAAGGTGATGAGGGTCTTAGAGGAGATAACAGAACTGATGGGACCAATGGAAGCGATGGTGCACCCGGGGCCACAGGAGCTCAAGGGCCTTAACGACCTCCAGGACCTCAGGGACCACAAGGGCCTCAAGGGCAACAAGGCATTAGAGGTCTAACATGTCCAAGAGGAGAGCCGGGGTCTACAGGGGCCGCGTGACCTCGATGAGGCCCTCAAGGGCCTAAAGGAGATACTGGAGTTACAGGGCCTCAGGGGCCTTCATAACGTCAAGGACCTCAAGGACAGGCAGGAGCTGATTGGCTTAAAGGAGACCAAGGAGATTAACCTGTTTTGAACTCTCCTAATGGATTTTACCCCCAGATATGAGCGGAGCAAATGTAACTTTAGTAAAGTTTCCTACTGAAAAAAAAATCGAAAATAATAAAATAGCATTATTAAATATTTTGTTTAAACGGTCTCAAAACGAGTGGTTCAACATTAGATCTACTGTGTTTGAGCAAAGTTGGGGGGCTTATATTAGTTTCGTACATGATACCACTAACAAATTGATGTCATATGTTAGTACAATACCCCCTAACTAGACGCGAAGATATGAGGTACACTATTTAGAGTTTTCTTAATTCTAAAACAATAAATTTTCACTTTATATATATAGTGTTTATCACTTCAGTTGTGTCTTGTCATACAAACATTAAAATGTCTAACGCAGCTGAAACTTCGGTTCATGAATTTGAATCAACAAACGATCTCTTTCGCCGAGCAGTAGAAGTATACTTACGACAAAATAGAGAGAAAAATTTTGAAAAATTCCAACTAGAAGATAATTCTAGGCTGAAAAAATAGTCATATCTTCTTGGAACTATTCAGACGTAGATAAACCTACGCGTGAAACTCTCAAAGCTTTGCTAAGTCCGGCAAAACTACCACGCCCGTCGTGTAAAGCATCATAGAAGACGTGAAAAACACAAAAAGCGACTGGAAATTCCAGTAGTTGTGTACACTCAAGTTGGTACTTCAGTCACTGGTAAAAGAGGTTCAGATTGGACTAATGCTGTGATGTGTGAAAAAGGTGAAGAAGATTCTTCTACAATCACCATCGAAACCGCTGGATTATACCGAATATCATTAAGTGGAAAATGTTTTACAAGTGCAGGAACGCTACGAGTACTTCAAACTCCTAGCAAATTACTTGTCTTAAGTGAAACGAAAACATCGTCTTGGTGATATTAACCTTGAATGTAGCTATAGTGATTTTATAGCTGTAGACTTACCTACTGATGGAACATTAGTTGTTCAACAGATGGGAACTGCTAGAGTAATTATCACACTCACTATAGAAAGTATAATCCCCTAATATTCAACGGTTGTTTGATGAAGATTTGCTACACGAAGCGCTAGATGATTCCGAAGGCTTTCTTTCATTATCTAGAACTGAATAAGAACACTTCACGTTTGGCAAAGGGAGTGAACCGGCCGCCGGAGGCATCGGAGTTTTAGTTTTTGGAGGAATTGCACTTAGAAACTGAAGTGCGTAATACCGTATTAACGCTGGTCGCTCATATTTCCATACGTAGCTTCCCAACCTACAGAATTTGTTATAACAGGCGGCCTACTTGCTATTACGTCATTAGGCTTAATAGGTCCGCGCTTACAGGGTACCGAAGGAAGTTCAGGTGGAGCTGTATTCGTACGCTTTCTTGATGTACATTCTAGTGGTTAAAAAGCTTCAAGGAATGAGTTTAGAGCTCTTCCACTTATAACACCCTGTTTATATAGTTGCAGAATCTCTCTAACAGTATCCATCTCGATTCTATATAATATATAAATATTATTCTTCTAATTGTATCGTACCTATTTGTATTAGCAGCCTGGTTTGTAATTTAAGATGTTCTTCTCTATGTCTTATTATTATATTATTCAATTTTTTCTCTCTTTCTCTTCTTTATTTTTGCTCTTGTCTTTTCATACGTACTCTTTTGGATTCACTATTCATCTTACCACGTACCCTATTATACGCTACTTCTAAATAATAGACCCCGACGGCCAGCCGTCTTCTGCCGTTGTCCTGGGTTTGACCTTCGCTGTAATTATGCTAGCATATTTACAAGAAGTACGTAAGCGAGCTAGGGCTGGGGCGCTTAGATTTGTGTACACTCCTTCTCAAACTGTGAGGTGCGCTAGAAACGACGCTTTCTCAAGGTGAAGTGCGCCAGTGGCAACATTTTGATTTTTACAATTAACACATTTTGATTTTCTCTACATTAAGGAGGGAGTAGGGTTAGGGTTAGGGTAAGGGTAAAGGTTAGGTTTAACACTCCTCGTGAAGTTAGTAATCTAGCTATGGCCCTGCTAACCTAGATACACCATACTAGACAGTCTTGAGTTTTTTATTGGTTGGCTTTCGTAAACTAAGAATTCTGTAAATCCAAACTTTAAAAAGCATTTTGACAGACATGCTTCCAGACCTCCTAGAATGAGTGCACCTCAATAATATTACATCAAATGTCTTCAACCAATGGATTGTTGCTTTATGAACTTATTCCAAGAACAGACAAATATGGCCGTTGTCCGATTACTAAGTAGGCTATGTAAGCTGAAGCTTACATTCCCGCGTTTTTAAAAGTCCTGTTCTCTTTAAACATAGTTTTTACTTTTTGCCATTCTAGATGAGATAAATGATCAAAATTTCAATAATATATCCTGTTGGAAACTGTACGATATACTATTATAATGCTCTATGTATAGAACTGATAAAGTAGTAACTTTATCTCGTTCGAAATTTAAATTTATTCTATAATTTTTACACTATGAGTAACAAAACTGAAGCAAAGGCAAAGGAGCACAAGAAACGGAAACGTCCTCAAAAGTTATATCACTTAAAGTCCCACAAATTTTTCTAAGCTTACAGGCCGCGCAATTAGTCATCCGCCGCTTAGTATGGGTGGTATTCACTGATAATGTTCATTCATACATATCTTGTTAACTTTTGATGTAAGAAAATTAGGTTTTACTATTAAGCATTCACTTCCTTTAAAACCTAAATAAGCAATATTTTTAAGAGGTACAATAAATAAGGTCAAAAAATGTATGTAAATAATGTGTAATAACGTTTTTCAGTACATGGCATTAAATTTCTACTGGTTTAATAAAATTTCATATGACTTTCTTACTATTCAATTTAACGCTATTAGAGTTAGACTGGAATTTTCTATTCAGACAGAAAAAAATTTCATGTAAGCACACATTACAATGAAATTGACTTTATATTCTGAAATTGAGTGTATTGCAAAACAGCATCCCCACTTCAAATGTAATTGACAGTAGTCAATAATATACATATCTTACATGCAATGCTTTTGTTCGTTAGGTTTCCAGCCTGTGAAACATGAAATAAGCAATTTTTAACAAATAATAATAATACCTAGTAATGATTTCATTCGCTTAAAAACACTTTTTCACAAAATTCAGTCGTTTATCCAACCATAACATAACCTTGAGAAACTGAATTTTTAACATTTTCAATTTAAATAGCCAAAGATTGCACTGAGGTACAAAATAATGGCAAGAACGAAAGTGGAGTTTATCAAATTGATCCTGATGGTCAAGGATCTTTTAATGTCTACTGTGACATGACTTCAAATGGTGGTGGCTGGACTGTATTTCAAAGACGTCAAGATGGAAGTGTAAACTTCAATCGAGGTTGGAAAGACTATAAACAAGGTTTTGGTAATCTGAAAGGCGAATTCTGGCTTGGATTAGATAAAATATACCGACTAACATCTGCAAGGAGAAATAAACTTCGTGTAGACCTGGGAGACGGGTCAGGAAACAAAGCATATGCTGAATATGATTATTTTGCTGTAAAGAATGAAAATAAAAAATATCAACTAAGTCTTGGTAAATATTCTGGTAAGTTAATACGTTAATATAAACGTTTGAGGAAAAAAAATTTTGATATATACAATATTTTTGAATGATATGAGTGATTGCAGTTTGCAACGGGGATTCTCCATGTTTTGATAAAAACGGATAGTAACGGTTGGTTTCGAACTAAAGCCTTGTTTGTCAATAAAAGTATAATTAATTTTGAACTTAAAAACTTACCGAAAAAATACAACAAACAAACGTAAAAAGTCGTTCCAATTTCGAACGATTCTGTTGCAACGATTGATTGTGACATGTAATAATTGTGATTAACTTATCATCAACATTAAATGCAAATTCAACTGCAGCTTTGTAAATTACGTAATAACCTAGCACATGAACAACATGTAGTTAATAAACGCGACTAAATTGTTTGGTACATAAGAGAGAATCTATACTGTGAATATCATTGTCTAATGATCATTGATTGAAATCTTTTTTATACAATGCAAGCATTCAAGTAAGCCCCTAGTAATTAATTGTAAATGCAAGTTTCAATGCCTAAATGATATATACATTATAACTTGTTCTTACATTAAAAGTTTTTTTATGAACTTATAACAGCAACCTAAAACATAACAGAAATTTATTTAAGTTTACATGGACATTTCACATTTGTAAGCATGAAACACAAATATATCAATTGAGCGTTGGAAAATACCCAGGTACGCCATTAAGTAAGGTCTGTTTCATACGTCAAACTTTACGTACACCGAACAGAGCTCTCTATTTGTAAGAGTTGGGACATGTATTGTTCTCTTGTTTGCGAACGTTGACTGGACAATATCGATCGCATGATTAATTTCCGCCATTTTTGTTCCTAATTTTGAAATTTCAACTAGTGTTTATTTGGCGATTATTACAAGTTTGTTTGTATTTTGAGAAATTATTTTGATTTTCTGGAGGTATGGCTAAAATAATTGATTATTTGATAGCTAAGACATGTAACTGCATATCGCCAGAATCATGGATCGGGAAAAAAGAAATGGCTTTATGATAGATTGGATTGTGCGTAGTGACCATTGTCTCGAACTGACCTTCACCTATAGGTTTCTTTACAAAGATTGTTTTCGAGTGAAAAATCATTGGAAATATTTGTCCTAATGCTAACGATTCAATAGTTTTCTTACATACAAAGCCTGTTCTTTATAGAAAGATTATGACTTATCATTATGTTCGGAAATGAGCCTAATTTACAAGTTCTTAACCACTTGAAGAGATAATTATTGCTAATCCAATATGCTAAAATAATATACTTTCGAATATTGTATTTTGCATCTTTAGGAAATCCTTTGAAAGTATAGTATCAGTAATCATAAATAAAATATTTACTGAAACAGCTGGGTAAAATACATTACCGGTAATGAAATACACATTCTGACTGTACTTCAACCAGAGCATGTTCAATTTGGTTATCAATAATTTGTTCTGTTCTTTACATAATCAATGATTTGGTGTGGTCTTTGGTCTTTATCATTTGGAAAACATGCAGAAGTTTTGTCATTACTCAACTTATTATTTTTTTCAGATAGATTAAAACTTGAATCAGACTCATATACAATGTCAAAGTCTGTACAAACAGTGACATTTGTAGCAAACAAGACTGTTTTTCAACAGCAGAATTGTTTTATAATACACAAACATAATTTCCTTTTCAACAAATGCTTCACCAAATAGAAGCCTATACCGTTTTGCATTAGAGTTAAACTTTAACTATAATCTCAGTTTCACAATCAATAAGAAATCAACAACTTCACATTAGATTAATAGAATATAAGAGCTACTGCATCTAACAAATATTTTAAATTCATAATTTCCAGCCAAACTTTTTTGTAATCTATCTGCATTAAATTTTTATGCCTGGACTATATTGCAAAATATGTACTACCTAAGCAAAATTTCACGACCACAGTGCTTCAAAACAAAACTTGGATAACACTGATTCAATGGTAGGCACAGTTTAAGGCAAAATAAATTATAGCAGCTCAATTGTAAATTCCAAATACTTTTTAGTTTTAGAATAAGATTATTAGTGGTGAATTTCTAAAGAATATATTTTTACCAGTTGAGTCGCCTCTACGGTTTCCAAATGTAAATATAACCAAAAATGAGCTGCAGTGATTTATTTTTACATACCTTATACCTGCCAAAGCATTGATTCAAATCTGGAGATATGTGTAGTAACGTGTTTTCCCGAACAGGAATATGCAGCCAAAATGTCGAGTATTTTCTTTATCGCTGGTAAATTATAAGCAATGAAAACAAATATCTTGGTGCTGTAGTTGAAAACTGCGAGAATATACGTTCACATACGTAAAAACGTCTAGCAGTGGGTCACGATTAGTTTCAAAGCACGAACTAGTCAACATCGAATGTAGCTAAAATCTGCGAAATTGAGTTTGGTTTGCAGTTATTATTCACAAAAACGCCAAAAGCTTAATTGTGGTTTCCGATATGTTTAAAATTTCCATTAAACAAGTCGGAATTTTATTATTCTTTTGCTCATTTAGCCAATTTCACACAGTTTTATAACAAGTTTAACTTGCAAGTAGTCACGAAAATGGCGGCTCCGCGCTCACCCCAGACCCGTTGTCCTAACTCTTACAGATAGAGGGCTCTGGCACCGAACGCATTAAAGACAAAAGAACCATTGTCAAATGAAGATTGACTGAAGTCCTTTTTATATCTAAGCCTCTAATAATCAATTGTAAATGCAAGTGTCAATGCCTAAATGATATATACATTAAACTTGTGTTAATGCAAGTTCAAAATAATTCTATAACTGCATTAAATGCGATTTTTGAAAGGTATTACTTTTCTTAGGAAATGCTGGAGATTCATTATCTTATCATAAAGGCTGGGCGTTTATGACAAATGATTTTGATTTTGATAAATATGGAAATAACTGTGCCACTGGCTACAAAGGTGGTTGGTGGTATAATAGTTGGTGGTATTGTTATGACTCTAACCTGAATGGACACTACTATAGTGGCAACCAATACAGTGAAAAAGGTGTGGTTTGGACACATTGGAAAGGTTATAAATCCTTAAAGTTCACTGAGATGAAAATAAAACCATAAAGAATTTCCAAAGACTGTGATGTTATAAATTTGACAATTATTTCTAATGAAACTTTCAACATATAATAAAAACAATTTAGCTTTTATGTTTTATAAAAGAACCTTTATAGTCATTATCATTTAAAAAAGCGTTGAAAAATTGTTAAAAATGCTGTGGTGAAATAATATTTTCCCTAGAAATTAGAGCTGATTTAGGTAATTATATGATTATAATGCTACGTCTTCACCCATTTCTTTAATGATATGTTGCTCTGTAAGTAGCTAATTTTATCTTTTCGCCACGTTCCACGCAATCTTGGTGTATCATGCATTTCATGCAATTATCTTACATCATTATTCACTACGTAAGATTTAGATTGCTTTCTGTGCTATCTAAAGGCTATGTTTGTCTCTCCTGACCTCAATATCTCTGGGCACTGTTAGTGTGAGACAGAAAAGATGGCGCTTAGTAGGAGCGGCAATCGCAGGGTAAAACCATACTCTTTGACTGTGAAGACATGCTCTGCGTCTGGGAAACTTAGTAGGAAAAATATTTCTCTCTCTCCTAATGTTGTTCTTCCCATTCGCACGATCGATACATTTGAAGGCTTTCAAGAAAACCTTAACGAAGGTACAAATAATTTATGTGGAACTGGATCTCGATCATTGAGTTCTATATACCGTTCTATTGAGTTCTATATATCTATATAGTTAAAACTTTCAATCATTGAGTTCTATATATCTCGATCATTGAGTTCTATATATTATTATAGAACTCAATGATCTCGATATGAAAGGAGGAGAGTGAATGAAAACGAATCCTGGAAGTGTTTGCAAGATAATTTAGTAAAGTCGTACATCGAAAATTGTGCCATGTTGCCAGGACAACTCTGCGTAAAATGTTTAGAAGATGGGATACCAGCAAAGAAAGCAGAAATTAGATGCCGTGATTGCAGTCAGTGTGCGGAATCCCTTCATCGAACGAGGAATGTTTTCCATTTGGTTGAAGTATGGAAGGTAAGCTTAATTCTTTCTGGCGGCGGCACAGATGAATCCCTATAAAATTTGCCTGCCAGCAAAACATAAACAAGTTAAGTCGTCTATTAGAAGGCAATTCTAGGTGATTATTTCCAAAAGTCAATTCTTCAGATGAAATATTTTTGCTTTTTACATTTGGAATTTGACTTGTTAAGCTCTAGTATTCATAAAATGCTGGCAATTTTTTTACAACCATGTCTTAACTCTAAAGTAACTTAATCTGTAGTATTTTGTTAAAACTATCAATCATTTTCAAGAAGGATATGCTGCTATATGCTATGCATGGTGCCTTATGGAATGTATACATGTTCTTATGCTTAAATAACTACTCTTTAGACTGATTGTGAAATGTTTGTTCCATTACTTTTGGTGGTATATTACGTGACAGTCAGCATGCTAACTGCTCTTCAACACAATCACGTACTATAATATATGTGGATTGAAAGGTACAGTATGGCAACAATAACAGTATTTTGACTTTGACTACATGTAAATGTGTATATGTTAGTAATACTGTTAAGCATTAGCTTCATTTAGGCCAATAATTTCTATGTTAATTATTTGCATAACAATTAATCCAATTTTTAATCTCATACAAAATTTAGGTCAGGAGCATTTAAAAATTGTTGAATTCTGTCAGTGTATTAAGGATGCTGAAAAACTAATTAAACTCCAGCTGTGGCCAGGCTCATCTTCTAAACCCAAAATTGCATTTCACTTTGACTTCATGGATTTTGCTGAAAAATTCTTGCTCTAGAGCCATGTATCCTTGCACAAATTTTGCAGCACTGTTGAAGTTGAATATCCTGAAATGCTACCTAGAGTGGTATGTATTTCTCATAAACTTGAATTGTGTACCCATATGATAGTCTACCCATGAAATAGTGGAAATAGATGGGTTGTACTTTGCAAAAAATTTTATTGAATCACTGTTATTTACAAACAACATAAATAATGCGATTTGCCTCAAATAAGGTAAGAGCACATTCAAATTGCACATGAAGTTTCCTTTGCTGTTATGACTTTGTATTCAACCTTATTTTATTTTTGAAACAAATGCACAAGTTTACTAGGTGTTCATTTTATTCTTGTTAAGGTCAAAAACATATATAATGTGTTAAACAATGGATCATTCGATGAATACAGGTATGTTATATGTTATAAAACAAAAGTCTATTTACAGTTATTGTAGACCTAATAGTTAGATTATATGTGTAGAGTAGTACAGTCTAACCCGTTTTAAGTACACACCATTGGACAACAGACTAGTGTTTTGACTGGCTTAATGAAAGTGTCAGCTTGATTGAGGTTTCATCATTATACTTCCATTATTATTAGCTATATGAGATTAAGTTTTGGATTTTACACAGTATCTGCTTAGTACAGGGTCATTTGATACAAGAGGTTTGACTGTATATATTATATCATTTAAGAATTTGATTTTTTTGTCAGATATTTCAAACACCAAGTCAGATCATTAAAGTTGATACAGAAAGACCTGATTGATTATAGAAATTGCCCTCTTTGCCCACAATTCAGTAATTGATTTCTTTTTTTCTACTATTTGCTTTGTGAACTATTTTAAATTATATGTTTTTTGTCACATATATTATCAGAACATTTAAAGTTGTTGTGAAATATGAAGTGTTACATGTTTACCATAAAATTCGTTTCATTTTATTAAAGAGCTTTGTTTGCTTTAGACTGGTGAGTTAGGTGTGGCCATTCATTCCATGGATGCTTGCTTTGGTCTAACTTGCAAAAAGTTGGCAAGGAATAGTTTTGCCGTCCCAAACCATGGCTGCCTTAAGTTTGCTGATCAGGATGAAGTAGATGATTTTGTTGATCAATATAGCAAGTCTAATAACAAAGTAAGAAAGGTAATTATTGCATGATGAAGGACTTTGAAGCCTTTAAAAGTAAGGAGGGAGTGAATAGTTTGAAAACAAACTTTAAAAGCAATGGCAAAGCCAGCACTTTTACTTTTACATTGCAATATTTTGTATTCAATCACTGGAAAAACTATGAATGGATTTGATTTTCTAAAGAAATTATTAATAATTTTGCTGACAAATTTGCATTGTAAGAGTAAAAGATTGGGCAGGCTTCGCCCCTGAGAAAAGTGGGTCTATGCTTCATGCAGGTCCATGGGCCTTGATACATACGTAAGTAGCTACGTGGATTTAAAATCAAAATTACAAACAGCCAATTTTTTTCTTTTCCTTTAATTTATGATGCTTATGCATGGTCTATGACTTGATTGTGTAAACTGTCATGTTTATTTTTACAGTAATAAAACAATTGTTATATATGGGCTAATCTATAATGTGCTCCACCTTATTTTAGAGTTGTCAGATATTTAAGGCAGGAGAAGTTACAGAAGCACTTCACTCCAAAGGAAAAAATCAGCTTTTTGATGAAAAAGGAGTGTTTGGTAGTTGTTGCAGTCGGCATTCACACCTTGGACGATTTTTCAGCACTAAATATGGGGAAAGGTTAGTGTCTTAGCCTTGGTTTGCACGTAATTATCAATATTCTTGATCTTTGATGAGGTAGTATGGAGAACAAATGATGTGGGACAAGTTCGTTCACCAACTAAACTTTGAATAAATTGGTACCGTTCTAGGCAAACAAGAGGCATGACATTTTGTCAAAAGTGTCAATTTCGGTGCCGATATTTCATTGTTATGGACACAAGGCTTCATGCCAGGTAATGAATAAAGCTTTGTACCTGGTAATGACAGGGATGGATTAAGAGGCGGGATAGCGGAGGAATGTGCTCTCCTCCAACCGTGATTAGTGGAGATGGATGAGGAGTGGCATTTTCCCTAAGAAATTTATGTATATCAAACCATCAAGCGATCGTAATTGGGGTTTATGGAGCACAATTTCAAAAATCTCCAATCATTGTATATAAGTAACAAAATTTAACGAAAAATGTCTTGCATGTTACGGCAACAAGCAGCCACTAGAATCTTATCCAAACTAGAGCACCCCCTCCCTCCTAAGCTATGTTACCATATCTGTCTTTTGTTGTTCTTTAAATGTTAATTTTGTATTCCTTTTACTTGTTTAGATGGTCAGAAAATTGCCACTCGCTTGTCCAGGCAAATCACCAAGATCACGAACAAGATGAAATTAACAATTGAGAAACACAATGCTGCCATTGATTCTCTTCGTGATATTATAAACAGTTTACCCGATCGTCTGACATTTGACAAAGCGAACGATCCTACATCAGACCTTTATGAGGGATTTGAGTCTGGTGAGGATGACATTCTAGGGGAAGCCTCGGTCCCAGTATACACAAAGAGGAAGGCTATTGAAATGTACTTAACCCTAAAACGATGTGACGAGGAAGAGAAACTTTTAAACTTGGAAATAGAAAGGCTTCTATTGTATTACACCAATCTTAGCTCAAAAATTGATGAAGCACTTGCCGATATTGGTGATTTGAGCAGCGATGAATTCATGCTTGGTTCAAAGCATGAACTGATAAGATTTAAAACCAAATTGCGGAATGAGTTGTTCAGCTTGAAGAAAAGTTTCGAGCTTCCACTTGGAGAAACTTTTCTTCTCCATGCTGAGATTGTCAACTTAACCAATGATGTCAACATTCCCAATGAATCTGAAAGCTCACCGTATGAGGAATCCGATACTGAAGATGAAAACATCGAAGAGCTCTCAGAAGTGGACAGTGACATTGAATAGACGACATAGCTACTATTCGTAAACTAATAGCTACTTTTTATGTACTTATGTAATTTAGTTGTTCACGTATCTAGTATAACTGATATCACGCAAACATTTGGTTTTGTGACGTCATGTTAGTGCACAGTCATTTTCTCTTCCTCTGTACAACACCGGAAGTTTTGACCCGTCGTTGAATTGTGAGAAAACTATGTTCTTTATTATTTATCAATGTCCTACAAGTAAGAGTTTATATGCGACATATATCCCAACCAATTAGCTCTGTCTGCCCAACCCAATTCATCTAAAATTGTGAGCATTTACATTATATAAAATAGCCGAGACGTATCCAAAGCTTTGTCAGTTGATCAACGGGGTCTGGGGCGAGTTTTTGAAAACACCGAATTTCATGATTTGTCCGTCTAAATCATGAAATGAATCCGAACACGTGTTTGGATTAAAATAATATAAAACTCAACATTATTAATCTGCGTTACTGAGCACCATTTCACAGAACACGTAAGCCATTTTACAGATCGAACACTCTTGTCATGTTGCACGCCTACCGTAATCATTGCACGTATTACGTATCACGCATTCTTACCGTGAGCTTCAAATACTCTCTACGCAATACCAACCCTCCCTACAATCACATTCTAAAGTAACATTCTCATGTTAAGAAAAGAACGTGATCGGTTTTTTGGGGGTTGTTTTTATTATAAGATGCTACATACTCGGCTACTAATAAGGTCCATGCTATAAGGGTCGGTGTACTAACTAAAAAAATCAATATTTTATTTGAAACATAATTTGTTAAAAAAATTTAAAGCCACAACTGTCAACTATTTGCTGTAACAAAACATTGCTACTGGCTACTGCATACTTTTGTGTAACAATCACATATGCTCGATGATATTGGATTATGCGGTGCTGTTCATTTCACAAAAAGCACCGTAAAGTGAAAATGTCGACGCAGCGGAATTCTCGAAATGTTAAAAGTGGAATTCATTTATGATATATATGTTGCTTTATTTTGAGTGTTCGTTGGTACCGTAAATAAATTTATCAACGGCCAGGGCGTTTAATCAATTCTAGATGTTGTGGTGCAGCGAAATGAAAAGAGAGACGTGTATATTCGTTGTTTGTGTGAACAAATAAAACAAAACTAATACAAACTAAACTTCTTATAAGCCAAATTGTGAACCCACTATAATTAATATATCATAAAGGTAATGTTGTGAAGGTGGTGGGTGTCTATCGAGGACGGGACTTTATTAGTAAGTAGCGTTGCAAGGAGGGGGGGGGCGTTTAATATGTATAAGGTGTTAATTTAACCAATGTCATACGGAAAATGGTATGGTTTAAAATAGCTAGCGCAGTCCCTAATTAACATAAATTTCAGAGGCACACGATAAGAATAATTTGAGGAAAGGCTTAATTTTTGGTGTTAATTGTATATAATATCGAGAACCTTTTTTTAGTGGGCGGGAATGATTTTCCATCTGATTGTAGGGAGGGTTGGTATTGCGTAGAGAATATTTGAAGCTCACGGCAAGAATGCGTGATACGTAATACGTGCAATGATTACGGTAGGCGTGCAACATGACAAGAGTGTTCGATCTGTAAATCTCGTTAATCTCGAGTTAATCTTGAGCAAAATATGAAACATGGGAAGGCTTGTAACGTTAAAAGACAAATTGGATGATTTAGACGGACAAATCATGAAATTCGGTGTTTTCAAAAACTCGCCCCAGACCCCGTTGATCAACTGACAAAGCTTTGGATACGTCTCGGCTATTTCATATAATGTGAATGCTCACAATTTTAGATGAATTGGGTTGGGCAGACAGAGCTAATTGGTTGGGATATATGTCGCATATAAACTCTTACTTGTAGGACATTGATAAATAATAAAGAACATAGTTTTCTCACAATTCAACGACGGGTCAAAACTTCCAGTGTTGTACAGAGGAAGAGAAAATGACTGTGCACTAACATGACGTCACAAAACCAAATGTTTGCGTGATATCAGTTATACTAGATACGTGAACAACTAAATTACATAAGTACATAAAAAGTAGCTATTAGTTTACGAATAGTAGCTATGTCGTCTATTCAATGTCACTGTCCACTTCTGAGAGCTCTTCGATGTTTTCATTTTCAGTATCGGATTCCTCATACGGTGAGCTTTCAGATTCATTGGGAATGTTGACATCATTGGTTAAGTTGACAATCTCAGCATGGAGAAGAAAAGTTTCTCCAAGTGGAAGCTCGAAACTTTTCTTCAAGCTGAACAACTCATTCCGCAATTTGGTTTTACATCTTATCAGTTCATGCTTTGAACCAAGCATGAATTCATCGCTGCTCAAATCACCAATATCGGCAAGTGCTTCATCAATTTTTGAGCTAAGATTGGTGTAATACAATAGAAGCCTTTCTATTTCCAAGTTTAAAAGTTTCTCTTCCTCGTCACATCGTTTTAGGATTAAGTACATTTCAATAGCCTTCCTCTTTGTGTATACTGGGACCGAGGCTTCCCCTAGAATGTCATCCTCACCAGACTCAAATCCCTCATAAAGGTCTGATGTAGGATCTTTCGCTTTGTCAAATGTCAGACGATGTTATAATATCACGAAGAGAATCAATGGCAGCATTGTGTTTCTCAATTGTTAATTTCATCTTGTTCGTGATCTTGGTGATTTGCCTGGACAAGCGAGTGGCAATTTTCTGACCATCTAAACAAGTAAAAGGAATACAAAATTAACATTTAAAGAACAACAAAAGACAGATATGGTAACATAGCTTAGGAGGGAGGGGGTGCTCTAGTTTGGATAAGATTCTAGTGGCTGCTTGTTGCCGTAACATGCAAGACATTTTTCGTTAAATTTTGTTACTTATATACAATGATTGGAGATTTTTGAAATTGTGCTCCATAAACCCCAATTACGATCGCTTGATGGTTTGATATACATAAATTTCTTAGGAAAATGCCACTCATCCATCTCCACTAATCACGGTTGGAGGAGAGCACATTCCTCCGCTATCCCGCCTCTTAATCCATCCCTGTCATTACCAGGTACAAAGCTTTATTCATTACCTGGCATGAAGCCTTGTGTCCATAACAATGAAATATCGGCACCGAAATTGACACTTTTGACAAAATGTCATGCATCTTGTTTGCCTAGAACGGTACCAATTTATTCAAAGTTTAGTTGGTGAACGAACTTGTCCCACATCATTTGTTCTCCATACTACCTCATCAAAGATCAAGAATATTGATAATTACGTGCAAACCAAGGCTAAGACACTAACCTTTCCCCATATTTAGTGCTGAAAAATCGTCCAAGGTGTGAATGCCGACTGCAACAACTACCAAACACATCAAAAGCTGATTTTTTCCTTTGGAGTGAAGTGCTTCTGTAACTTCTCCTGCCTTAAATATCTGACAACTCTAAAATAAGGTGGAGCACATTATAGATTAGCCCATATATAACAATTGTTTTATTACTGTAAAAATAAACATGACAGTTTACACAATCAAGTCATAGACCATGCATAAGCATCATAAATTAAAGGAAAAGAAAAAAATTGGCTGTTTGTAATTTTGATTTTAAATCCACGTAGCTACTTACGTATGTATCAAGGCCCATGGACCTGCATGAAGCATAGACCCACTTTTCTCAGGGGCGAAGCCTGCCCAATCTTTTACTCTTACAATGCAAATTTGTCAGCAAAATTATTAATAATTTCTTTAGAAAATCAAATCCATTCATAGTTTTTCCAGTGATTGAATACAAAAATATTGCAATGTAAAAGTAAAAAAGTGCTGGCTTTGCCATTGCTTTTAAAGTTTGTTTTCAAACTATTCACTCCACAGAATACTTTTGAAAAGGCTTCAAAGTCCTTCATCATGCAATAATTACCTTTCTTACTTTGTTATTAGACTTGCTATATTGATCAACAAAATCATCTACTTCATCCTGATCAGCAAACTTAAGGCAGCCATGGTTTGGGACGGCAAAACTATTCCTTGCCAACTTTTTGCGAGTTAGACCAAAGCAAGCATCCATGGAATGAATGGCCACACCTAACTCACCAGTCTAAAGCAAACAAAGCTCTTTAATAAAATGAAACGAATTTTATGGTAAACATGTAACACTTCATATTTCACAACAACTTTAAATGTTCTGATAATATATGTGACAAAAAACATATAATTTAAAATAGTTCACAAGCAAATAGTAGAAAAAAAGAAATCAAATACTGAATTGTGGGCAAAGAGGGCAATTTCTATAATCAATCAGGTCTTTCTGTATCAACTTTAATGATCTGACTTGGTGTTTGAAATATCTGACAAAAAAATCAAATTCTTAAATGATATAATACATACAGTCAAACCTCTTGTATCAAATGACCCTGTACTAAGCAGATACTGTGTAAAATCCAAAACTTAATCTCATATAGCTAATAATAATGGAAGTATAATGATGAAACCTCAATCAAGCTGACACTTTCATTAAGCCAGTCAAAACACTAGTCTGTTGTCCAATGGTGTGTACTTAAAACGGGTTAGACTGTACTACTCTACACATATAATCTAACTATTAGGTCTACAATAACTGTAAATAGACTTTTGTTTTACAACATATAACATACCTGTATTCATCGAATGATCCATTGTTAAACACATTTTATATGTTTTTGACCTTAACAAGAATAAAATGAACACCTAGTAAACTTGTGCATTTGTTTCAAAAATAAAATAAGGTTGAATACAAAGTCATAACAGCAAAGGAAACTTCATGTGCAATTTGAATGTGCTCTTACCTTATTTGAGGCAAATACGCATTATTTATGTTGTTTGTAAATAACAGTGATTCAATAAAATTTTTTGCAAAGTACAACCCATCTATTTCCACTATTTCATGGGTAGACTATCATATGGGTACACAATTCAAGTTTATGAGAAATACATACCACTCTAGGTAGCATTTCAGGATATTCAACTTCAACAGTGCTGCAAAATTTGTGCAAGGATACATGGCTCTCGAGCAAGAATTTTTCAGCAAAATCCATGTAGTCAAAGTGAAATGCAATTTTGGGTTTAGAAGATGAGCCTGGCCACAGCTGGAGTTTAATTAGTTTTTCAGCATCCTTAATACACTGACAGAATTCAACAATTTTTAAATGCTCCTGACCTAAATTTTGTATGAGATTAAAAATTGGATTAATTGTTATGCAAATAATTAACATAGAAATTATTGGCCTAAATGAAGCTAATGCTTAACAGTATTACTAACATCTACACATTTACATGTAGTCAAAGTCAAAATACTGTTATTGTTGCCATACTGTACCTTTCAATCCACATATATTATAGTACGTGATTGTGTTGAAGAGCAGTTAGCATGCTGACTGTCACGTAATATACCACCAAAAAGTAATGGAACAAACATTTCACAATCAGTCTAAAGAGTAGTTATTTAAGCATAAGAACATGTATACATTCCATAAGGCACCATGCATAGCATATAGCAGCATATCCTTCTTGAAAATGATTGATAGTTTTAACAAAATACTACAGATTAAGTTACTTTAGAGTTAAGACATGGTTGTAAAAAATTGCCAGCATTTTATGAATACTAGAGCTTAACAAGTCAAATTCCAAATGTAAAAAAGCAAAAATATTTCATCTGAAGAATTGACTTTTGGAAATAATCACCTAGAATTGCCTTCTAATAGACGACTTAACTTGTTTATGTTTTGCTGGCAGGCAAATTTTATAGGGATTCATCTGTGCCGCCAGAAAGAATTAAGCTTACCTTCCATACTTCAACCAAATGGAAAACATTCCTCGTTCGATGAAGGGATTCCACTGACACTCACGGCATCTAATTTCTGCTTTCTTTGCTGGTATCCCATCTTCTAAACATTTTACGCAGAGTTGTCCTGGCAACATGGCACAATTTTCGATGTACGACTTTACTAAATTATCTTGCAAACACTTCCAGGATTCGTTTTCATTCACTCTCCTCCTTTCATATCGAGATCATTGAGTTCTATAATAATATATAGAACTCAATGATCGAGATATATAGAACTCAATGATTGAAAGTTTTAACTATATAGATATATAGAACTCAATAGAACGGTATATAGAACTCAATGATCGAGATCCAGTTCCACATAAATTATTTGTACCTTCGTTAAGGTTTTCTTGAAAGCCTTCAAATGTATCGATCAAAAGAATGGGAAGAACAACATTAGGAGAGAGAGAAATATTTTTCCTACTAAGTTTCCCAGACGCAGAGCATGTCTTCACAGTCAAAGAGTATGGTTTTACCCTGCGATTGCCGCTCCTACTAAGCGCCATCTTTTCTGTCTCACACTAACAGTGCCCAGAGATATTGAGGTCAGGAGAGACAAACATAGCCTTTAGATAGCACAGAAAGCAATCTAAATTGGCTATCTTCCGCATTCTAAAATTTAGAACTCTGAGTAATACCCATTTAGAATGAGCGAAACGGGTGACTTATTAATAGTTTGTACCTATAAGTATTAGCATACATATAGGTATTGTTGCCTATGAAGTGCCAGGTGGGAAGCGGATTCTCAATATAAATATTTGAGCCCAACAAATAATTTTAAAAATCGTCTTAAACAATTTGGTTTTATGAAAGGTACTGAAATTTGTCATCATGCAGTAAATGTAGTATTTGCATAATATTTCCTAAATAGGTGGAGCTTTGCACGTAAGTATTTCTCCAGATATTTTCTGACGCTTCTTAATACCTTATATGACAGATTAATAAAACACAGTCAAGATCCTTTGCGTGGTTACTGCTGCGGATGGGATTTACTTTATAGTAATTTGATTTTATAAAATTTAAACTCAAAATCCTTCTTGTAAACTTATAAGAAATCTTCGCAAAGTGTTGCGTTGCTTTTACGTTTGTTAAATTTCAACAGCAGATCCTACTGTTTTGAAAAGTAAAAATGGTGTAAATTGGGAGCATTTAACTATAGTCCGGAATAGCAGAAGCTAAAAACTATTTATGTCTAATACCATGGACCTCTTAAATGCCCGGACCTGTAAATTTCAGCTTACTTAGCCTACTAAGTAGTCGACCACTGAGTATCATTCTTTAATATGTCAATTGACTGTTTTGTCTCATATCTTTTAACTATTTCCGTAGAGCGATGTTAACTAATGCAGAAGACGATCGTACAAAAGATGACTTCTCAACAGTCAGCGTCGACATGAAACGCACCTTAAAACTTGATCAAAGAAATGTAACTGCAAATTCAGTTCCAGCTTTGTGTGCAACAAATTATTAGTAAGGGCCTGAACATGTTATAACGAAAAAACACAACTGTATTTAATATTTTCTACGTAATTAAAGAACTAAGTGATGACACACACTGTAAAACTGATTGATTGAAATAACCATTAAAATTGGTTACTTCAGATGCATTAAACTACTTCAACCAATATTTTTATGGCTACTGTAACCAATCATATGGTTATTTTAACCAATCATCTTTTTCTGGCCTAGTTAGCGCAAAAAGAATCTTTTTATTGTAAATATTTTTGTTAATTGTCCATTGATTAAACATTAATATTACACAAGCATTGAGGTAAGCATGTAGTGACCAAATATAATGAATAATAAAAGTCCACTGTTAAATGTGTGCTCTTGAATACAATTATCACCATTTAGGAACTGCTGGGAATTCATTATCCGCCCATAAAAACAAGTCGTTTACGACAATCGATTCAGATAATGATACAGATGGCGGAGGAAACTGCGCTGTAAATGCTAAAGGTGCTTGGTGGTATTATTATTGTTATGATTCCAACCTAAATAGGTATTATTATCATGGCAATTATCAACCTTCCGCATCTTGGTACAAAGGTGTTGTTTGGAAAGATTGGAAAGGATTTTCTTATTCTTTGAAATTCACTGAAATGAAAATAAGACCATCAGGAAATTTTAATAAAGTGATGATTTCATGACGATAATGAATACATCTGTAGTGAACTTTATATATTCTGTTGTAAAGTTGGTTGTTTAGTCTTTAAAAACAAATAAATCTCAACAGTCATTATTCGTGGTTTTTTAATATGGATTTGTTATAATATTTATTGAAACCGTGTCGGAAAAAAGGCAACCTAACTTCAGCTCGTTTTTGTACATAACTAAAATTACTAAATAAGTCACCATGATTTTTTACCATCATGAAAGATCAGTGTCTGAGCTTTCGAATTTTGTGTTGTTTGAATTTAATTACAAAGTTCCTTTTTACCCCCTTGAAGAAAAGAAAACAACAGCGGCAGCCGTCTCTGATTTCTTACATTTTGAATTAAATAGGTTTTAGTTTTTTAAAAATGCTCTATATCTTTGATGAATTTTTACTGTGCTGAAAACAATTTGCAGACTTATTGAGCTCTAACAAATGTTTGTATCTTTTCACTTCACGCATCACCTTTCTTGTTTTTTTATTCATGTGTTTTTGATCAACTTTTAAAAATTAGATTGAAGGAATGGTCATCAACCGTTGATTGAACCGTTGATTGAAGCAATTGGTAAGAACAATATGTACGAGATTTATATCATAAACTTCTTGTATATGACAGAGTTGTTGGTGTTTGTCATAGAGTACTATTAACGTAAACAAATGTCAGCAGTAATGTCCTAAACAGCGCTTAACAGCGTAATTGCAAAACTAAATAGCTCGTGGTCATTACCAATGCATTAAGCAGCTTTACTCTGTTAATCTGAATCCCTTAGGAAGTAAAACATTGGAACTGTTGCTTGGCCAGATAATATACTTAATGTAAACTACATGAATGGATGCTACACACCCAGAGCTTCCTGCCTTATGTGTTCATCACACATCATGACTTCGACAAAAAAGTAGGGGCGTCAAAAAGAACATTAAATTGTGGGGGGGGGGGATTTTAGAAGTTATAAGTACCATTGTCTGCAACATGTTGTCAAGTAGTCGCCATTTTGAATTTGAGCAACGCCGGTCGTCTAATCGCGAACGTAATAAACTAATGAAAAAAAAATCGCAGAAGATTTCTACGTGATACTATCGAGTCCACTCACTGCTCTGTTGATATGTATGTTTTATAGTCAAAATAGACTATTAGTAAACATTCTCTTTCATTGTAATTTTTCTGCTTCAATGAAAGGGCGGACTGCATCCTCTGGGAAACGTGCTTTAGCATCCCACTGTCCCCTGTTTCCAACGCCACAGCAATAAAGACTTTATTTTGTTCTTAAATAATGAAACAGAAGAGTTACGCTCATTATTGAATGGAAGTCTGGTGCAGAATATTTTTGGTTTATTTAGTAAAACAGCTACAACGTCTCTTTGATACAACTTTAAGACTAAAAAATGAATGTTGATGGTGTCTTCTAGGCTGTAAGCATTGGCTTCAAAATTTTTATTACAAAAACCTTTTATCAGCTTAGTGAAAAATGCGCTTCATTTTTGCTGTCACGTACAGAATCTACCGAAAATTTTGAAGTCAGCTCTATTTTCATTAAGATTTAGTTATCTTAAATGTATGTTAATGTACTGGCAAAAATTTTTTTCATGTAAAAGATAATTAAAAACTAATATTTTTTAAAATAAAATATTGTAGAAGCATTGTAGATGCATAGATTCCTACAGAAAGAAGAGAGAGGGACAGATAGCAAATTTTTATACAAATATACATGGATTGATAGGAAGTTCATAGAGATTCGATTGCAGTGAGTTTAATCTTTTCCTTAGAGAGGAAGTTTCATCTTTTTTTTAAACAAAGAGACCCGCATATAGCTGGCTGGTTAATAGCGTTTGTGTAAATTTTTGTATTTGTTTTGTATGCAGATAATTTAGCCATTGGTGTATTATATTTACGGCTACACTAAATTTTTGCAACTTTTTTCTCTCTAATAAAATTGAACTTTTGCAGAAAAAATATTTTACTATTTATAGTTAATGTTTTGCTACCTAGCTCATGAAATAGGATTTAAACTGAAGAGGACATCGTTTCAATAGAATTCCCAGTTATGCGCATATTCAGCAACATTATGCTAGTTAGTGTTCATCATATATTCAGCTGCAACTCTTTGTAACTAAATTTTGACAGCATTTCGCTTTCTTCTACTTGGTGATGATCAACATTGAAACATTTTTACTGAAATAATTTAAAATACTTTGTAAGCGTTCCGGCTAAAATCATATTAAAGCTTGTAAAATATTTATGGTTTACCTAAATCATCAATAAACTACCTAAATCATCGACATTTAATTGTTATTACAAAAACCTTTATCAGCTTGTTGAAAAATGCGCTTCATTTTTGCTGTCACGTACAAAATCCACCGAAAGCTTTGAAGTCAGCTCTATTTTAATTAAAATTTAACTATCTAAAATGTATGTTAATGTACCAGGAATTTTTGTCATGTAAAAGATAATTAACAAAAAATGTTTTTTTAAATAAAATATTGTAGAAGCATTGTAGATGCATAGATTCCTACAGAAAAAAAAGAGAGAGGGATAGATAGCAACTTTTCATACAAATATACATGGATTGATAGGAAGTTCATAGAGATTCAATTGCAGTGAGTTTAATCTTTTCCTTAGAGAGAAAGTTTCGTCTTTTTTTTTAAACGAGGAGACCTGCATATAGCTGGCAGGTTAACAGCGTTTGTGTGTAATTTGTATTTTATTAAAGCTTGTACATTATTTATGAATTGCTTAAATCATCAATGGTCGACCACCAAAAAGGATTGTAACTGTAATAATAAAGCACACAGATAATATATTTTTCACCAAATTGACCAAATTTTTCCAGCAATCGTTTCCTGCAAATAAAGTGAG